GGCCGCATGAACGGACCATCATAGGGAGCAATTCGTCCCTTTCCTTTTACATTTATGCATTTAATTTAATTTCGCATCTTGCATATAGAAATAGATTTATTTTTACGTCAGTCCCGGGACATGCATGCATTAATTTTGTTTCTATATTTTATACTAACTTATTTTTAAGTGCTTTTTTTTTGTAGGTAAGGCTTATGTGGAGACGAGGGCATCCGCAAAGATCCTTCGATCTCGATTTCAAATCCAAGGTAAGTGATTTTAATATTATTTTGTTGTTTCCTATACATATATACTAATATCTATTTTAAATCTTTTTAGATGCATACGAGAGGGAGCGGCCGCATGATAGGACGACCGAATACATCATAGGGAGCAATTCGTCCCTTTCCTTTTACATTTATGCATTTAATTTAATTTCGCATCTTGCATATAGAAATAGATTTATTTTTACGTCAGTCCCGGGACATGCATGCATTAATTTTGTTTCTATATTTTATACTAACTTATTTTTAAGTGCTTTTTTTTTGTAGGTAAGGCTTATGTGGAGACGAGGGCATCCGCAAAGATCCTTCGATCTCGATTTCAAATCCAAGGTAAGTGATTTTAATATTATTTTGTTGTTTCCTATACATATATACTAATATCTATTTTAAATCTTTTTAGATGCATACGAGAGGGAGCGGCCGCATGATAGGACGACCGAATACATCATAGGGAGCAATTCGTCCCTTTCCTTTTACATTTATGCATTTAATTTAATTTCGCATCTTGCATATAGAAATAGATTTATTTTTACGTCAGTCCCGGGACATGCATGCATTAATTTTGTTTCTATATTTTATACTAACTTATTTTTAAGTGCTTTTTTTTTGTAGGTAAGGCTTATGTGGAGACGAGGGCATCCGCAAAGATCCTTCGATCTCGATTTCAAATCCAAGGTAAGTGATTTTAATATTATTTTGTTGTTTCCTATACATATATACTAATATCTATTTTAAATCTTTTTAGATGCATACGAGAGGGAGCGGCCGCATGATACGGACCGAATACATCATAGGGAGCAATTCGTCCCTTTCCTTTTACATTTATGCATTTAATTTAATTTCGCATCTTGCATATAGAAATAGATTTATTTTTACGTCAGTCCCGGGACATGCATGCATTAATTTTTTTCTATATTTTATACTAACTTATTTTTAAGTGCTTTTTTTTTGTAGGTAAAGCTTATGTGGAGACGAGGGCATCCGCAAAGATCCTTCGATCTCGATTTCAAATCCAAGGTAAGTGATTTTAATATTATTTTGTTGTTTCCTATACATATATACTAATATCTATTTTAAATCTTTTTAGATGCATACGAGAGGGAGCGGCCGCATGATAGGACGGACCATCATAGGGAGCAATTCGTCCCTTTCCTTTTACATTTATGCATTTAATTTAATTTCGCATCTTGCATATAGAAATAGATTTATTTTTACGTCAGTCCCGGGACATGCATGCATTAATTTTTTTTCTATATTTTATACTAACTTATTTTTAAGTGCTTTTTTTTTGTAGGTAAAGCTTATGTGGAGACGAGGGCATCCGCAAAGATCCTTCGATCTCGATTTCAAATCCAAGGTAAGTGATTTTAATATTATTTTGTTGTTTCCTATACATATATACTAATATCTATTTTAAATCTTTTTAGATGCATACGAGAGGGAGCGGCCGCATGATAGGACGACCGAATACATCATAGGGAGCAATTCGTCCCTTTCCTTTTACATTTATGCATTTAATTTAATTTCGCATCTTGCATATAGAAATAGATTTATTTTTACGTCAGTCCCGGGACATGCATGCATTAATTTTGTTTCTATATTTTATACTAACTTATTTTTAAGTGCTTTTTTTTTGTAGGTAAGGCTTATGTGGAGACGAGGGCATCCGCAAAGATCCTTCGATCTCGATTTCAAATCCAAGGTAAGTGATTTTAATATTATTTTGTTGTTTCCTATACATATATACTAATATCTATTTTAAATCTTTTTAGATGCATACGAGAGGGAGCGGCCGCATGATAGGACGACCGAATACATCATAGGGAGCAATTCGTCCCTTTCCTTTTACATTTATGCATTTAATTTAATTTCGCATCTTGCATATAGAAATAGATTTATTTTTACGTCAGTCCCGGGACATGCATGCATTAATTTTGTTTCTATATTTTATACTAACTTATTTTTAAGTGCTTTTTTTTTGTAGGTAAAGCTTATGTGGAGACGAGGGCATCCGCAAAGATCCTTCGATCTCGATTTCAAATCCAAGGTAAGTGATTTTAATATTATTTTGTTGTTTCCTATACATATATACTAATATCTATTTTAAATCTTTTTAGATGCATACGAGAGGGAGCGGCCGCATGATAGGACGACCGAATACATCATAGGGAGCAATTCGTCCCTTTCCTTTTACATTTATGCATTTAATTTAATTTCGCATCTTGCATATAGAAATAGATTTATTTTTACGTCAGTCCCGGGACATGCATGCATTAATTTTGTTTCTATATTTTATACTAACTTATTTTTAAGTGCTTTTTTTTTGTAGGTAAAGCTTATGTGGAGACGAGGGCATCCGCAAAGATCCTTCGATCTCGATTTCAAATCCAAGGTAAGTGATTTTAATATTATTTTGTTGTTTCCTATACATATATACTAATATCTATTTTAAATCTTTTTAGATGCATACGAGAGGGAGCGGCCGCATGATAGGACGACCGAATACATCATAGGGAGCAATTCGTCCCTTTCCTTTTACATTTATGCATTTAATTTAATTTCGCATCTTGCATATAGAAATAGATTTATTTTTACGTCAGTCCCGGGACATGCATGCATTAATTTTGTTTCTATATTTTATACTAACTTATTTTTAAGTGTTTTTTTTTTGTAGGTAAAGCTTATGTGGAGACGAGGGCATCCGCAAAGATCCTTCGATCTCGATTTCAAATCCAAGGTAAGTGATTTTAATATTATTTTGTTGTTTCCTATACATATATACTAATATCTATTTTAAATCTTTTTAGATGCATACGAGAGGGAGCGGCCGCATGATAGGACGACCGAATACATCATAGGGAGCAATTCGTCCCTTTCCTTTTACATTTATGCATTTAATTTAATTTCGCATCTTGCATATAGAAATAGATTTATTTTTACGTCAGTCCCGGGACATGCATGCATTAATTTTGTTTCTATATTTTATACTAACTTATTTTTAAGTGCTTTTTTTTTGTAGGTAAAGCTTATGTGGAGACGAGGGCATCCGCAAAGATCCTTCGATCTCGATTTCAAATCCAAGGTAAGTGATTTTAATATTATTTTGTTGTTTCCTATACATATATACTAATATCTATTTTAAATCTTTTTAGATGCATACGAGAGGGAGCGGCCGCATGATAGGACGACCGAATACATCATAGGGAGCAATTCGTCCCTTTCCTTTTACATTTATGCATTTAATTTAATTTCGCATCTTGCATATAGAAATAGATTTATTTTTACGTCAGTCCCGGGACATGCATGCATTAATTTTGTTTCTATATTTTATACTAACTTATTTTTAAGTGCTTTTTTTTTGTAGGTAAAGCTTATGTGGAGACGAGGGCATCCGCAAAGATCCTTCGATCTCGATTTCAAATCCAAGGTAAGTGATTTTAATATTATTTTGTTGTTTCCTATACATATATACTAATATCTATTTTAAATCTTTTTAGATGCATACGAGAGGGAGCGGCCGCATGATAGGACGACCGAATACATCATAGGGAGCAATTCGTCCCTTTCCTTTTACATTTATGCATTTAATTTAATTTCGCATCTTGCATATAGAAATAGATTTATTTTTACGTCAGTCCCGGGACATGCATGCATTAATTTTGTTTCTATATTTTATACTAACTTATTTTTAAGTGCTTTTTTTTTGTAGGTAAGGCTTATGTGGAGACGAGGGCATCCGCAAAGATCCTTCGATCTCGATTTCAAATCCAAGGTAAGTGATTTTAATATTATTTTGTTGTTTCCTATACATATATACTAATATCTATTTTAAATCTTTTTAGATGCATACGAGAGGGAGCGGCCGCATGATAGGACGACCGAATACATCATAGGGAGCAATTCGTCCCTTTCCTTTTACATTTATGCATTTAATTTAATTTCGCATCTTGCATATAGAAATAGATTTATTTTTACGTCAGTCCCGGGACATGCATCCTTTAATTTTGTTTCTATATTTTATACTAACTTATATTTAAGTGATTTTTTTTTGTAGGTAAAGCTTATATGGAGACGAGGGCATCCGCAAAGATCCTTCGATCTCGATTTCAAATTAAGGTAAGTGATTTTAATATTATTTTGTTGTTTCCTATACATATATACTAATATCTATTTTAAATCTTTTTAGATGCATACGAGAGGAAGCGACCGCCTGAACGGACCATCATAGGGAGCAATTCGTCCTTTCGTTTTACATTTATGCATTTAATTCAATTTAGCATCTTGCATATAGAAATAGATTTATTTTTACGTCAGTCCCGGGACATGCATGCATTAATTTTGTTTCTATATTTTATACTAACTTATTTCTAAGTGTTTTTAATTTGTAGGTAAAGCTTATGTGGAGACGAGGGGATCCGCAAAGATCCTTCGATCTCGATTACAAGATCTAGGCTGGTCTGGCCCGGTATTATTAAAATCTGGGCTAGCCTGGCCTGGCCCGGTATATTTTGAAACCGGGCCATGCTTGGGTTTTGGTTTTCAAGCCCAATTCAAAATCAAGCCGGGTCTATCGGGCTTGAATTTTAAAACGGCTAATCCAGCCCAAAAAATATTACTCTCTCCCTCGCAAAAAATGCACTAATTTTTTGCGTGGCTGAGGGAGTAATACCAGCCTGAAATTGTCACAATTTTTTGTTAAATATGATGTTAACTTCTCAAATAATGGAAGCGAGATACCTTAAAATTTGAATCCACCGATATGCTGAAGTCTTTTCCTTAAAATCCGCCGATATGGTGCAATGGTGCAACAATAACCCTTTTCCCAATGCTTTCACATATACCTCCTGGAATTAAGAGATTAAGTAAAAAAAAACACAAATCATGTTTCCACTGGTCCTTCATATAACTGTTATTATGAAATTGCACAAAGCATTATTATTACGAAATACAATTTATCAAATTTTCTAAACTAAGACTACTTAATACCAGCTTGCAAACAATCTGTTCATATCATCTTTAATGTGCCAACATAATATAAGGGGAAGAAACAAATGCCCGTGAGAAAATTATTAGCACAACATGACAACTATTTTCAACGTTTTAAATAAAATTTGACCCTTTTGCCTTATGGAAATATGTTCAACAATTAGTGGACAACAAATTAATATTCACACATACATACACATGAATACTAGAATTTTAGAACTGTAATTATATTGCAAGCCTATATAAGTAGTGCCCATATTCAACTAGAATGAAAGTTTTATTGACCTTCGATTTAGTTGCAAGAAATTACTTACTGGCAAAACGGAGCAACTTTGAGATCCTCCTTTGATGAGTTTTACATTCTTGAGGACAAACCTCACTGAGGCTTCCCAGTTTAACTTCATATTTATCATCAAGAAGTATGTTGCTGGCTTGGACATCCTTCACTAATACAAACAATAAAATTTCAATTTCCCGAAATGAGAATAAAGTAGGGTCCAAAAATAAAAAAAGCTAAAATACAAATAGCATAGACAACTTAATTAAAGAATACACATAATCTAAGAGTGAGATCATGTACAAATCTAAGCTCACAGTTCCTGGATTTGCTCTTCAGTATCTTTGCACCTATTTTGTGACATCCCTGGGGTTTTTCTATATATACATTATGTAACCTTCACCCATGTACCATTCAAGGATTTAAAGACAAAAATTGGATTTATCAACCCCACATAATAAAGACAACGCTTAAACATGGCCAATTTTAAATAAAATTACAACTAATATATAAATAAGTTTTTAACAAAAATTACTGGGCAATTAATTTGCAGGTAAGCATATTTTTCTCAATATAGGTACAACTATGCGTTGGATAAAGTATTTTTGGTGCTTGATACCAATATTCAGATCTTGTTATAAAAAATATGTTGCATATTTACGACTTCTGGTGTTATGCTGATCTCTTAAATGACACTGAATATCTATGCACGTGTGCAATCACAATCCAAACCAAGACTAAATATTCTATAAACACAAGTTGAATGATATATGTAGGACCTAAATCAATAATATAGTCTAAAAACATGTATTAAATCAACAATGTCGAGCAATGTAAAGGAATAGAAACTGCCCGGGTTCCACTTATTCTTGTAAGAGTTGGGCCATCAAAATTTTAATAGACACCTAATAGATATCCTAATATATAGAACAGATGAAAAGATTCACATGCTAGAGAAATTACAGAATAGCATAAGCAAAATTTTCAGCATCGACTACAAAGTGAGTTAAGTGACTTCAAATATATTATTTTTATCAAATAGAAAACTTCATATTAGCAAGTATAGACACCATAGGAGCGACGAAAATAAATCTAAACCTATCACATATATTTATGGTCGCTCATCGCATCAACCCAAAAATGGATCCGTAAAATAAATACTTAATTTCCAAATCTCATAGACTGTAGTACAAGGAAATGAAGAGTATAAAATCAACAAAAGCTAAACATATATATTATATATAAATGGTTGGTTAAGGAAGAGAACGAATGATGACTTGCTTGTGATGTAGCAACACACCTAAAAACTCGATCTGCAACAATGTATAAGGTAAAATAAAAATAAAATAAAATAAAATAAAAAAGATTAAAAGAAAAATTAATGTAAAAATATACAACCAAATCTCAATGCATAGGATATTAAACATTAGTTTGGAAAATACACTTACCCAAATGCCTCGTTGATATGCTCACCTGATTAATGTAAGCTGCCCCTAATAGAATTCTGCATTCAAAATGGAATAGTACAAAATTAGTACTTGAACTCATATGGAATTAGTACTTGTTGCATACAAAACCAAGGGCATGACGTACAGAACATTAAGCCTACTTCATCAAGAATTGTATAATCCCACGCTTCTTCCATTGTAAATGCAATCTCCACACAAGAATTTTATTTCTGCACAGTATAATATGTTTATAAAAGCACGCCCTTTGTCCCATAATGAAGCCATTAGTGGATGAATAGAAAACAAATACCAACAACTGGAAGTAAATCAATCAATACAGTTGGAGATACATACATTCAGTTAGTGTCATAATGAAAAGTCCAAAATTGCTTAATGATTGTGCATATATAATCAAAATTTATAATGAGATCATGTTTACAGGATAAACGAACCAAGCAAGTGTTTTTGGCTCAATACATAATGGAAGATATGTAACTTTTTCCATTCTTTATTTTAGAACAACTAAAAATTCAATCTCGTTGCAATTTTGAGACAACAAATATTGTCGAACATAAGCACCAAAGCATACAACCAGTTCAACCGCAAATCATTTAGTGTTATTTGCCACTGATTACATACATAAGATGTTTAACTTGCAAATTCTAAATTCTAAATAGTAAAAACCAATAAACCAAATGAGAAAAAATAGCAGAAAATAGTTTTATGGAACCAAAGAGAACAAATCAAACCTTTTGCCTATTTGTCTATTCTTTTTTGCTTTTGGTGAATTATTGGTGCAAAATGCAATAACCGGTATGATAACTGACTTGCGACGTGCTTACGCCATCACGGGCGCCCGGGTAAGAATTTCCGTGAAGGGATTGGCGCGAACCAGAGTGAGATTTCCGAACTCCAGGGGAACCAGACTGAGACGCCAAAAGCATCTGTGTTAATCTATGTTTTTGTTGTGACTTAGTTGTAGATCATTTCTATAGATATTGAAATAAAAAAATCAATACCTGTCATATCTCGATTTTCCTTCTTAGTTCCATTGTCTTCATGGTGAACCTCTTCAACTATTACTGCCCTTTTGAAGAACATTCATAATATTTGTTCTGCTTCAATAATGCGGCTTCTTTAGATTTACCCAAAAGGGGAAAAAATGAATATATAGCACTTCTCTTGTACATTTGTGCAAACTCTAACAGCTTACCTGTTCTTTGGCATTATTCCAAAGAGTAGAAGATATTGAGATGGATAAAAACTGGTCCGAACAGCTTACCGGCTTACCGGTCCGGAACAGAATTGAGATGGATAAAAACTGGTCCGAACACTTTCTTCCATATTTCGCCAGGTTGAAATTTGAGTAGAAGATCCTCTCCTGCATAATGATATGTGACAAATATCTGGTACGAAAATCAGATTGCATCCACAGAAAGTTTTTGGTAAAAATCACGAGAGAGGAAGTCAGCTTCAACAGCCGACAGGTGCTTACCGCAAGGGTGGTCGGGTTCACATGAGAGGTCAAGTCTTGTTTCAAAGGTCCTCCATTTCGATATTCATTGCTCGGCGCAATTTGCCAGAACCCCACCGGTGGATCAGAGCTTATCCACCCATGCACCTTATTATCTTTGTTCTCAATTGAGTAATGGTATTTGTCATCCACCTGCACATGAAAAAGATCAACGAAGAAGACAAGTTAAAGGTATAAAGAAAACACATTCTTCAGCAGTATTTTTAAGGAAGTAGTAATCTCAGTGTACTTCTCCTTTAAATTCCAGGTCGACAGGATCAACAAGAAGCACGGCTTCAGGGTACTCCAGTTCTTGACCTCTAGGAGGCAGTCGATCTTCCGGCCTGGGCATGTATCTTTGCCTGTTATCTGATATTGCCATGTAATGTAACCTGGTAAAACCTACAGTCATCTAAATATCTTGCCTAACCAATTGGAAAATGGAAGGATAACTTGCCGCGATAAAACAACAATGCAATGTTATTGTAGTAAAGAGATTCTTACAGGTCTTTATTGAGCATGCACGCGATTCGGGTGGTGCTAAGGTTGAAACCAGGGAAGTCTTCCAAATGCTCGAAAATAGCGTAAGAGTAGAATCCTGGGGAGCCATGAAGCATCACAAACCTAAAAAATCGACATGGTAAGATTTCGTCCTTTGATCCGAATGGACAAACTAAACTAGGTAAGGTAGATAGAACCTTCTGTCTATTCGCAAAGGAGATTGCTTTCCTTCAGGTGAAGGATCCCATGTTCTTGTGAATGAAAGTTCTACTTGCTCCTCATTTTCAACAATTACTTTCACACTTGTTCCTTCAATCCTACATAGCATAAATTTTCCACCTTGTTATGCCATATTTCTGTATTAAATATTCAAATTTCAACATTGTTAGAATTTAATATACATTATATTTAAAAGTATACACGTTTATTAAGTAGCATCTAACCATTAGTACATTCCAAAGGGTTTATGCAATTAATGCAGAGACAGTTCCAAAATGTTGATGAATTCAAGTTCTGTTACTTCACCGCTTGGTTTTGGTTTGACATCATTTATCAAACTATTTTCTAAATTTCTACCAAATAATCAAACAAAACACCTGTTTTTTTTTATTAACAGAGTGTTCGCGTGGATAATCTTCTTTAGTAAAACCCATATCATTAAATTACGTAAATGATCTACTGATAATGATACTACTTACCTTGAAGATTCAGCAACGTCGTTAACAACACTACTGCATCTGCTTTCATGACCATAACACTCTCGAAATCTCACGTATTTATGGCACATATGACATAATTCTGTTCGGTTCCAACATACTTCCTGGCATAATAAATGAGAAGCACGTCAGCTTAAGTTAAAGATACCTAAGTTGTTATATCAATTTATTACCTGGTGCTCCAATAAATCAATAGCAGGCAGAGGAAACTCGCAATATTCACATGTCACAATCCTCTGTGGACAATTCTCTCCTTTGGGTACATCTAAAATGTCGCGGTCCATTGTTTCACTGCACAGAGAACAAGACACCTGCAAAGCAATCGAAATCAAGACAAATTAACTTGCAACAGCAATGGATACAAGTGCGATTGTTGGATGAGAAATTGAGAGCCAATAATGTATTTTGTACATTTGTTCAGCCTTAAGGATGAGTTCATGTTGTGTCTTTTTTCTTTTTTTCTTCCTACTTTTTGAAATATAACAATTATTTCACACATTTCACTATGGAGACCATGTTTTCCCACATTAGAAGTTGAACAAATACTTGCACTGTAATGACGTTTGTTATCTAGTTGTATGCATTTTCAGAGGCATCAGTGAATGCTCTTAGTAAAATTCACAGTAAACAACCACTTTGTCTTAGGGTTTGTTCACTTTCAGAAAATACTACACAAAACACTATGCAATTTAATTAATAAGAAGGAATTAATCTACCAACTTCAAATCGTATTAACCTAAAACCTAATTTAAACAGAGTTGAGTAAGGAAAAACCAAAAACAAAGCCAGACAAATTTCAACAGGGCAAATAAACCAGGATCAACTGATTGAATCATGGAGGAAGATAATCAAACCATCGATCCACAAATGTGACAAAAAGAGAAAGCAAAAATTATGCATATAAGGACGAAAAGTAACCGAGATGCATCGGAAATTAATTAACGTGTCTTGTTTCTCTCGTCGAACAGAAGGATTCTTCTTACAGAAACAGAGGAAATCGAGCAGCTGGTTGGTGGTAATCACATGGAAGCTTGGATTCCCAAACCGCATCCGACGAAGCGGTGCCGTGGAATGCGCTGCGCCAATTGCATATCTCCGGCAGCGTTAGGTAGCGGAACACAGATCCTCCGGTATGTCCCCTGGCCCCTGTTTGGTTTGAGGGTTTAGGAAGAAAGGGGAGGGAAGGGAATTATAAAATTTTGTATGTTTGGTTCAAAAATTTTTAGAGGGGAAGGGATGGGAGGGGAGTTTAGGGTTTAGGGGAGTCAATTTCTTTTATTTTATTTTATTTTTTTATAATTTGGGGGAATTTGAAGGGGAAGGATTTTATAAAAAAAAAATTATTTAATTAACTATTATACTATTTAAATATTTTATTAGAAATTTAATAACATCTTTCAAAATTTTAACATTTATTTATTTTATTTTAAATTATATCAAATAAATATTAATATATATTAAAATTATATTATATATTTTGAAATAATTTTAATTAATTTTTTTAACCAAATTTAATTATAATAATTTTTTAGTAAATTAAAAATTAGTATATAATTATATCTATAATATTAATATTTTACTTTTTTTTATCATGTAATATGAGCATATTATCGTTGATACGAGAATTTAGATAAAATATAATTAGTAAGTAATTAAGAAGTGCACTGGTAAAAATAATTATAGTTTAAAATTAAATAACTAAATAGTTTAATTAATATTAAAAACTATAAATTATAAAATATAAAATATTTAATATTTTTATAATATTATTAGTTTATATAATTTTTGGTATAGTGTTATTATTTATGCGCTAAAACTATTGTTTATCTTTATTGGTAAATTTAATAAATAACTAATGTATAAAGTATTTGATTATTGGATTATTTGTTATTTTAACTAACTATTCGATATTTAAAAATTAGAATAAAACTCCAAACAATTGATGTTGTTAGAATTAAAGCCCCTTGTTAAATATATATATATATACTCCATCCGTTCCGCGAAAATAGTCCAATTTTTTTGGCACGTAGTTTAAGAAATTTTAATTTATATAGTTAATTAGTTTGAATAGTTAATCTAATGTTTGTAATAAAATATTATATTAACTATTTTTTATTTGATGTAATATTGAAGTAAATATTTTGTTACCAATATAAGAATCCCTAGAATATATGAAGTTTCCCTAAAATATATGAAGTTAGGCCCTGTCAACCTATATTTCATCAATTTTATTATCTTATTACTCGTATATATATATATGGGAAAAAATTAATTTCAGTCACAATATAACCAAAATTCATCAATTTTGGTCTCAATATAAAAATCTTATCAATTTTGGTCATAATATAACCAAAACTCATCATTTTTTGTCCCAATATAACCAAAACTCATCATTTTCCGTCCCAATATAAATTTTTTATTAATTCTAGTCCCAATATAACAAAAACTCATCATTTTTTGTCCAAATATAATCAAATCTTATCGTTTTTTTGTCCCACCGTTAACAAATCGACGGAAAATGCTGACGTGAAAATAAATCAAACCTTATATTTATATTTTTTAAGAAATTGAACAATCTTGTAAGTCCACGTCAGCATTTTCCGTCAGTTTGTTGACAGTGGGACCAAAAAAAAAGGTTTGATTATATTGGGACAAAAAATGAGTAGTTTTAGTTATATTGGGACTAAAATTAATAAAAAAATTTATATTATGACCAAGAATGATGAGTTTTGGTTATATTGAGACAAAAAAATGATTTTTTCCATATATATATATATCTATTCTATAAAATATTACATTCAAATTTCATTCTTCCATAAACATACATATAAATCACTAATTTCAATTCAATTTTTTTTACTATTATATAATATTAAAGTATCATAACATTTCCAAAATATATATAAGTGCAGCCTAGAGTTTTAACTTTATTATTTTAAACTTTTTTAGACATGTTTTTTTTTGATTGTATTATTTATAAGATTATTTATGAATCACGTATACACCAAAAATTTTAATTAGTAATAATCTTAAATGTAATACAGAACGTAAAAGAAAAAGGTATTGAAACTTTGTTTTATTTTATTTTTTTATCATAAATAAATAAAATTAATGAATGGATAGATGTAGATAATACAATGGTTTGCAAATAAAATCATGACACGTAAATGATAATTAATTGATGAAGCCAAGGGTGAATATAAAATTGGGAATAATATACTAATATTTAATTTAATAAAAGGGAAAAAGGAGAGAAAGATGTGTGTTTTTATTGCAACGTAGTTATCTTTATGTGACATCATCAAACCTGATTTTTGTTATCTCATAAATCAACACGTAAATGTGACATTATTAATTTAATCAAATAAATCCATATATATATTGCATAAAACAAAATTCACATATAATATATATATTTATACATATACATGCATAAAATCTTGTTTGTTTATTTATTTATCACACAATTGAATCCCATTTTTAGCGGCCCATAAATAATAATAATAATAATAATAATAATAAGGATAAATTGCTATAAGGTTTGTTTCTTTAACCTCAAATTTCAAGTGTTTTTTCAAAAGTATAACTTCTTTGTTCTATAAATATAGTATTAATTGAGTTGAATACGAGATTCAAGGAATATTCATATTATATTGATACTGGGTAAAAAATTAATAGGTAAATAAAAAATGCAAAAAATTTGAATAGTAAATACTCAATTTAAGACGAAATGTGTAGTTGTATACGCAATTTAAAGATCTCCTTAATTTCTATGACTTAGTATCAAAATAGAAGGTAATATTATTTGAACATGTACGTTACAATTTTTTTACAATGACATAGCAAGACTATTATGCCATTTGTTTCGATTTTTCCTTCAAAATTTCCGATGGCTACCAAACTAATGTGCGTATTATCTTGGCGAGGATTTGCAAAAAGTTTACTTATGTGTAAATTAAAGCGGTGAATATCTCGATAAGAAAAAATAACTCTCAAATTTTTTTTAAGCATTAAATTTTTTTGAATACAATGAATTCATTCTCGTGTGTGTGTGTGTTTTTTTTTTTTCACTTTTTTTTACTATTTAATTTTTAAATTTCTTTTAAGATATCATATTTAATTATTATTTTCCTATAAAATGGAGAAAATAAATATATATATATATATATCCAAATACATTCGTAAAAATCGTTTACTTTGAGAAAGAGCTATCTTTTTCTAAATATTTATATATATATATATAAGTTTTCCATTTCATTAAAGCAAAAATAAATAAATAAATAAAGTGAGCACCATTATTATTGGATTAGGTAATTGATTGGTCCCGTTAATCTATGCTTTTCAAACCATATTTAATGTGAATTTTTTTTAATTAAATCATAAAGATTAAAATATATCAAGATAAATAAACCCCCATAATCATGTTCCAACTAATTATATTATTTATTTGAAAATGAAGATTTTTATATAAACTAAAAAATATTATTTTAATATAAAAATAAAATATAAATATTATAAAATTTTAATAAAATATAAAAATAATAAAATTATTTACTATAAATCAATGATATACTATAATATATATGTTATAAATTCCATATAAAAATATATTGACAAAGAAGAGGCCAAAAAAAATAATAAAATTAAAAAAAAAATCTCATAACAAAATATAGTCTTTTGTGTTTTAGTATATATTCATAATATATTTTATATTTTATTTATTATGTAAAATTCTTGTGTTAAAATTAAAATATTCACAAAATATTTTTTTTCGTCCAAAGTTAATGTTTGATTATAAACATATAAATGATTATAAAATTTCAAAATAAATAAAAGAGGTAAAATATAATAAATAACCTTATTTTAATAAAATAAATAAATAAATAATTGATAATTCTTCATTTTATATATATTTTTTAAAAAAACTAGGCAACAACTCATCTAAAAAAAATATTAAATAAATGATTAATAAATTATTTATTTTATTAAAAAAATATATTTTTAAGATATATATTTTTTATAAAACTCATCATTTTATAGGGAGATTAGCAAATCAGCTCTGGCTAACAATCTGGCCTCACTGGTTCAACAATCTTACAAAACTCGAAATCGAATGCCGAAACCGAGGTCGAGGCTGGAATCGAGGAGGTTCTTCGAGCTACAGATTAAGAAGAAGGTGAAGCAATAATATAGGGATGGGAAGTTTCACGATCTCATGTCGAATGTAATCGCCGATCCGAATACTCTAAAGGATGCTTACGATTGTCTCCGAGCATCTTCGAATGTCGATTTGTCGTCTGATAGCAATCCATTGTCGTTCTAGTTAATGGCGGAGGAGTTAGCCGACAGGAGCTTCGACGTTTCCGAAAATACATATACGATATCGAGCCGAGGCGCGAAAGTAAAGAAGTCGAAGCTCGTTCTTCCGGGATTGAAATTACGGGTTGTTCAAGAAGCTATTAGGATCGTTTTGGAGGTCGTTTCCGGGCCACATTTCTCGAAGATTTCGCATGGGTTTCGAAGCGGAAGGAGTCGAGTGTCGGCGTTGAAGTATATTCGGAGGGAGATTTCCGACCCCGATTGGTGGTTTACGGTTCTTGTTTGTAAGAAGCTCGACGAGCCTATCCTTCGTAGGATCGAATCGTTGATGGAGGAAAAGGTCGACGACTTAAATTTATTTGGGATGATTTGGAAGATGTTCGACGCTGGAGTTTTGAATGTCGAGTTCGGTTCGTTGGCAAAAGGATGCGGACTTCCGCAAGAAGGGGCGCTCTCGCCGATACTCATGAACATATACCTCGATCTTTTCGATCGAGAGGTGTATCGATTATCGATGCGGTATACGATATGCGCGCCGTGCGAGAACACGTCGCAGTCGAAGCTCTGCGGCGTTTTTCGAAGGCAGGTAAATGGGAACGATCGCTAGAAAATCCCGAGCACGAGAGTCCAGTGTTGTCGATTCATGGACGAGTTTTTCTTCGCCGTGATGGGTTCGAAGGAAGTAGCGGTTGATTTCAAATCCGACGTAACAAATTTCTTGAAGAACTCTCTCAATGTGGATATCGACGAGGGTGATTGAACGATGTTTTGGCGTCGAATGACCCACACGGCGTTCGATTTCTCGGATTGTGTATCAGAAGGCGCCCGAGAGAGAATGACGGCGGCGGCGTTCGAGCCGTACATAAATTGCGGGACAAAGTCCAGATCTTCGCCGAACAAAAACGCGAGTCGTGGATCGAAGGGGAGT